TGACATAAATATGCAGGGCTGTTCTCCAAAGAATCATTCATCACCCTGTCCTGCCACCTGCCAACTCTGCTTCCTGAATTTCTCTTGAATCCTTCTCCTTCCTACACCCACTGCTAAAGTTTTATTCTGACCCTTCTCTCTCTCCTCTCCTCCATTCTTATCTTCTTCTCCTCCCCGCTCCCCTTCCATCTCCTCCTCTCTGAAGTTTGCACAGCTGTTCCCCATAAGGTCTCCACATTCCTAGCCTTTCCTCTTGCCAATTGTTTCCAATTGCAGCCAGAGCAATCCTTCTCCAATGCTCAATTATCAGTCTTGCTTCTCTGTTGGAGATAGCCCACCACCACCCCACTGACTCCTTGCTGCTCTTCAGATAAAACCCAAAGTCTCCAGGGTGACTCACAAGGCCCCTTAGTGTCTCTAGCTAGCCTCTCTGAATTCCTTTCAGTTGCTCAGAAGCTCCAGGCTCTCTTTTCTTTAGGTCCTCTGTTTAGGCCATCCCACTGCCTGTCTCTCCAGAGGTTAATGTAACAGAATTCTTATCTTAAGTCTCAGTTTTGCTGTCATTGTCTTCTGGAAGCCTCCTCTGACCCCCATTCTGGGATAAGCATATGATACTTCTTAACACACTGCTTACCTATTGTTACTTGCCATTTTATAATCACCCGTGTTTCCTAATTGTCCCTATTTCTTCACTCCTGTAAGCTCCTTGAGGGTAGGGACTCTGACCATCTTATATCTCCAGAATTCGGCACAGCATGTGGCCCTGGAGGTGCTCTATGAAGATGATAAACAACTGTACCATTTACAGAGAAATGCTTGCAAACTGATTTTATCAAACCATCTCACTTCTGGAATGGTATCTCTTTTTTATGGCTCTGCTTGGGCCTACATTAACTTTTGCTTTTCCTTTTCTTCCATTCACTCAGCCCCTACACCAGGGCCGAGCATGTGATAACTATCTCAAGTAAGCCTGACTTTACTACACATCGTTGTTGAATAATGAAGGACCTTTCTGGGTCCCCGTGCACAAGTCTAGATCTGAAATGTGTTTTCCTTTTAACATGGCACCCTGAGAACTGTGCACATCGAGAAAGAAGCAATGACTTTGTAGGTGGGAGGGAGATGGGAGAGAGTCTTGCTGTTGTTTGCATGGATTTATAGCCATGTGTTTATAGTGCTGGATGAGGGGAAAGAATAAAGGGAAAGAAGGCAGAGAATAAAGGGCACCATGTGTTACTTCTCATGTTTTGTAGAGGAGGTTGTGGTTATGGGCTATTTTCATTTTATGAAAACCATTTAGTCTTTTCTTTCTCTTGCTGTTTATTGTACACACATAGATCACTTAGGCTATTTCGTTGCGTCTCCGTGAATAGAAAGCCTGTCACTGAGACAGACATGAAAGGAAGGAAGGGTTTGTCTAATGCTGAAACTCCTTTAGAAGGATGAGTGTCTGTAATCAGCCTCTGCAGATCTGACTGTGCAGCAGCCCCAGTGTCGTTGCGTCTTCTGCCCCCACACCGTGAATTACAAGAGCCAGATTGGCCCTATAAGTGCAAGGTTACATGTGTCTTTCATTGTGCAGTGTGCTCTGGAGTCTATCGTTAAGCCTTGCTGTGCTTCTAGAGGATGCCTAAGGTGAGGTGACAGAGTCTTGCCCAGGCTCCAGCTGTGTCTCTTGACACAACAAAGGCCCTGTCTTAACATGCTAAAGGCATTTTCTTCATGCTCACTTAGCATCTTTGTTCAGTTCTGCATAACTATGTACTGCCTTTCCTGCAGAAAGCAATGTTTAGTAAATTATATACCATTCATTTTGGAAGCCTTGTCTTAGATGGATACAATGGGTATTTCAAATACAAGTGTATGAAGCTGTGAGTAAAACATGTAGAAATCTGACAATAATATTCTTTATTGATTTGTTTAAAAATTTATTAATTCTAGGTCTGGAGTTCATACTCTGCCTCATAATGCCAAGGTTCACTACAACTATGCGAATTTTCTGAAGGACCAAGGTCGGAACAGAGAAGCCATCTACCACTACAGAACGGCCCTCAGGTAAGTGTCATGAAGGGAGTGTGTTGGCTATTATGCTTTGAAGACTTTTGTTTATTTCACTTATTTCCTCCCAGTATGGGAGGTTGTTTGTTTGTCCTGACAGTGAACATATCCTTGAAGGGGGTATAACTCTCTGACTTTGAGTTTTTAGCTTAGTATTTAAGTATTTTATAAGTACAATAACTCCACTTTTCTTCTAATTCTTTGTTTTTTATTGTAAAAGTTTTCATTGCTACACATGACGTAATGAAGTGACACTCAGTTGCATATGCAAGCAGGAGTTGTTTGTCAGAAACTGAATTCTTAATGATATGTGTGTGGAAATCTCTAGGCAACCTATGTTTGAAAGTATTCATATCAAGACATTTGAGTATAGAAATAAAATGAATGAAAACAGTAAGACATTTGATTACCATGTTGGGAATGTGTTAATTGTGTGTGTGTGTACACATTCCCTAACACTCTCCTTATATTCTTTCAAGGGAAGAGAGAATATTAAACATGTCCTTAGAGGTGACTTTAAGTGAAACTAGAAATTTAAGTTCTGCTTGACCAGCAGAAATCTGTAGGTACTCTTTTAAATTGCAGCTCTGACTTTCAAGATGGTTTTCTCTAAAAGGTCCTAGATAATAATTGTACTTAACCTTAAACGTGGAGTTTTGTAATCTCCATTGATGGGCAAATCAAGCAATGTGAATCTTCTCCTTTATTGAATACTTTGCTGCTCACAGAAGCCTTTTGAAGAGGTCCCCGTTCTACCACAAACTGGCCCACATTTGGTTGAATTTACTGAAACTGTTCCACTTTGGGACATGCATACATCTACCGACAAATCATATATTTCACTAAAGTTTCTATTAGGATTGTCTCAAGGCTTAGTGTGGAGTTGTCTTTATTATGACCTACACAAGCATGTTGCTTATTAATCAAAATCTTTAGACTATAGAACCTGTTTCTTAATATTCAATATGGCAAAAGTCTCAAACCAAAAACCATACACATTAAGTTACTGTCAGATGCTTTTCCAAACATTACAAAAAATTTGAGTTCCAGAGGAGTAATTGTAACAAGGTTTGGTGTTGAAGAATAGTTTTTATTAAGGAATAGAAGGTAGTTTTTAAGATTTAATAAAGAATTACGTTCTTGGGAGTGGTGGCTCACACCTATAATCCCAGCACTTTTGGAGGCCAAGGTGAGAAGATTGCCTGAGCCCATGGGTTTGAGACCAGCCTGGGCAGCTTGGCAAGGACCTCATCTCTACAGTAAATCAAAAAATTAGCCAGGCGTGTTGGTGCATGCCTGTAATTCCAGTTACTTGGAAGGCTGAGGTGGAAGGATCACCTGAGTCCAGCAGGTTGAGGCTGCAGTGGCTGTGAGTGTGCCACTGCACTCCAGCCTAGGCAACAGCGTCAGACTCCAACTCAAAAAAAAAAAAAATTATATTCTTTCACAAGAAGACAGTTTCCAAAATGTTTACAATTCTTATCTCTGGTGGGTGAGAGTGTGGTTTAAATTTTTCTATTTATTTTCCTGTGTGTTTCAGGTATTCCACAATGAAAATCTATTACTTTTGCAATGAGGAAATGTCATATTTTAAAAAGGCATATTTCTTCAAGGGTACATATAAAGCGTACTTTGGATTTAATATTTAATTGATGTTTAACAATTTTAGATAGCATTCTTGAAGAGAAGAAAAAAGCACTAAGTTTGTCTGAAAAATATTGGTTGCAAGGAAGTGTTATTAGTATCTTTTAAAATCTGTTTTATTGTTACAGACTATTTTTTTGTCAAGTTCAAACAGAATAATAAGTCGACCCCTAAGGCACAGCTTGGGGCAAAAGTATAAATTAAGCAAAGTTCTCTGGAAGTTGATTTTAGAGAATTATAGTAGCTGGTTGAGTTCTTTTTCTTCTTTCCTGTGAGATAATAAAAATAAATGTTTGCTTCAGCAACTGTGCTTCTGGAAGAAATGTGTCCCTTGAGAAATGGGGGAAAACAATTAAAGCTATAAATACTATATTGCATAGTAATTAGATAAGTATTTTATGCTCTCACACCAGGCTCAAAATATTTCTGGTTGAAAATATAATTTTCGTATGGATACCTCTGTGGTGAATTTTCAACCGATGTGGTTGTGGTTTTTTGCTTGTTTGTTTTTAAAATAAATTGTCACTGTGTTAGAGAGAAAAGAAAAATACCAGGGCTATTCATCATTTTGATGATTATTTATCCTCAGTGACTGGAAGAGTGCCCTTATTTTGATGTTGCTATTTCTTTGTGGAAGTTGCTGAGGCAGGGATTCCTCTCCCTCCCAGTTGCTCTACCTTTCTCTACCTCCACTTTAGTGTATCTGATGTTTTCCATATTTGTACACAGCAAGAAAGAGAGTGATTAGAGAAATGCAAGGTTAAAGGTGCTATTACCTGAGATCACTTCCAACAATTACCCATTACCATTTTCATGACCATATAGATTCCAAAGGCAATGGTGAAATTAGTCATAAGGTTGTAGCTATACTAATCTCCTTTTTGGCTGGCTTACAGTTCTAAAAATAACACTATATTCAGTTAATAATTGTATATGACATGAATATCCTCCTTCTTTTAAACTCTATTTTTTAAATAATGCAGAAATACTTCTGACTTCTCCTCCCTTTTGGTATACATCATTTATTAGATTTCTGTAGTGTAATGGAAATCTCCTCTGAAAAATGGTGTAGCTAAGGTTATGTATTCAGTGTAAAACCCAAATCATCAAAGAAAAATGTCAGAACCCTTTCCTTAAATCTTCAGCAAACATGAGTGTTAGCTTTGCTTTGCTGTGAGGGGCAGCTCTTATGTTTACACCTACTGCAGTACCATAAGGCTTGAGATTCTCTATGCTGGAGATTCAGAAAACTACTGTCAGATCTACCATATGCCCCCAGAACTTTCTAACCATTCAGGAGGTTTCTAACATCTACCTCATGTGATGGGAATAGAAAATCCAGAGGCCACCCAACAATTTAGCTTTTTTGACACAAAACTCCCAAGAAATGCTTCAGCTGTGAAGTCCATAAGGGGAAATGGTGATCCTGGGTACATAAAGTGGAGAAGTTACTGAATGTGTCCTTGGCTACATGTGTACTTTTTCGATTAGCTTAAAAGTTCAGTTAAAAATGGAGAATCATAAAACAAATTAAGCACACTCTTGAGTATTTTATTTTTCCCGGAAACTTCAAATGTGCATTCATTCACCAATCTTCTAATGTCAAATCAAGTTCTTTTGAGTAAGAGTCTACTGATTAGAATCTGCAAAAACCACATTCATAATTCATTGCTATGAGTATCACTTTTGATATCTTAAATTGGGATGAAAATTTAAAGATACTTGCAAAGTGATTTGAGTAGACTATCTGAGATTTTTCTGATTTTTCTCCTCCAGATTTTTATAATTATTTCACATCTCATTCAGCAGCAATTTTTTTTGAACAACTTTCCTTTTTTGAGTATTTTTAGAGTACTTATTTTCTATAGAAATAATTCTTATTTCACATTTAAGTTTTATCAGTATGAAAGACCAGACTCTTTTCTATAGACATAACCAAATTTTCTTTGTGCTTTAATGTTCCAATACAAAAGAAGTCTCCATCACTATTTAGTTGGCTAACACATGAGAAAGGTGGAAGTAAAATCTCTCTGATTAGAATTTGGTTAATGTATAAAATAGAGACTTATGATGATACTGTCTAATGGTATGATTCTTTGTAGTCCTTCCTGTATGGATAACTGGAACTAAGGAGGCTCCATTAGACTGCAATAGGGTATGCGGAAAAAAGGAAGTAATAGAGAGAAGAAACATCTTATCATTAATCTAAAGAAATTATCCATGTCTAACTAACCACTGTTCATTGATGTCCTGAGTATATCAATAAGATTACAGTACTTAATTATAATTCCTTTTAGTAATGCTATTTATAAAACTATGTTTCGTCAAGTTCAAACAGAAAAATAACGCAGATCCCAAGGCACATCTTGGCGCAAAGTCTGAACTTGTTTCAATGAGGAATCAATGAGTATTTTAAAAATCCTTCTTTACTCAGCTTATTTTGAATAAACATTGAAGATTACTCTCTCATGACTACAAGTGGCCTTGCATACCAGCTGTCATGTATTTCTGGAAATAATTTCAGTACCATTTGTTAGCCAGGCTTAACAAGTGGAGATGTGTTCTTCAGCTGGTGTGGTATTTTCATTTATGAATATGTTTTCCAGTATTACAAGTAGACACTTGACATTATTTTTGTTTCTTTTTGTTGATGAAATTACATTCTCACTATATATGTTGTGTTAATTAAATCTGACAGTTTTATTCATTAAATGCAGGGAATTAAACATTATTTTACTTAGAAAAAACTAGAATTTAAGTCACATTGTGGGTCGTATTTATGAACTGAATTTCAAAATGAAAGCTCCATAATTATTTTTAAAAAGTTTCACTCTCTCTGACTGCCTTTTTTCTGTCTTATATAACTTTTTTACTTTAAAAAAACCTTGCATAGGTACAGTTCCCTAGGAAAGAGAATCCAGAGCAGAGATTTACACGCATGAAGTTTATCAAGGGGTGCCTTCGGAATGCTAGGGTGGCAGAAGGGACTGAGGGAGCTGTTGAGATGCAATGCACTTTCAATGAAGGTCTCAGCGAATTCTGGAGGCATGAGATTTACCTTTGAACCCCCTTTTCAACCAGTCACTCCACTCAGGACAGGAGTGTAGCTTGAGTGAGGCAGCTCCCAAAGGATGCCCAGAGAGGAGTTGTGCTCTGAACTGTCAATAACCAACATTCCTGGGGGCGGGGGACATAGAGGGGGGAGATTACGCACCCAGGACTTGAAGGAAGACTCTGTGGTGCAAAATGGAATCCATTATACTGGCTTCATTTATGATTTCTTATATAAGGAAATAAGACAGTTATAGCAGAATAGGGTTTAGATTTTCTGTTAAAGTGAGAATAAGGATGCT